AGGGGGGTGCGCAGCCGCAGGTCCCCGGGCAGCCGCGGGTGACGCGGCCGCTTCCTCTCCTCCTCTCTGCAGGCCGCGAGGATGTCTGCCCCCCAGAGCAGTGGCGCCCTGCTTCCGCACATGCTGGTGGCCCTCTTTGGGATGGGCTCCTGGGTCTCTGTTAACTCCCTCTGGGTGGAGCTTCCGGTGGTCGTGAAGAGGCTGCCAGAAGGTGAGTGAAGGGCCCTGCGGAGGAGGGAGGGAGGAGGCTGGCTCTGGCTGGGGCTCTGGCTGGGGAAGGGCAGGGAAGCAGGACAGGGAGGGCTCTGGAGTGGGGAGGGAGGCGGCTGCAGGGCTTCCCGGTGGGGAGGACTCTGCTCATCAGGGCCCGAACTGGGGAGGAAGTGCCCTGCCGGGTGGCTGTTCAGGGAGGAGAATGGCTCACCTGCTACTCGGTCTGTGGCGTGCCAGGGCCTGGGCAGCGTGTGGGGCAGGGTTCTCCTGCCCTTCCTCTGGGGAATGCGGGCAGGTACAGGAGGGCCCAGCTGCTCGTTTTGCCCGGGCTTCCAGACATGCAGAAGCTGCTCTAAGACCGAAGCTGCAGGGGATATCGGTTGGCGCAACTCCGCTTCTCTCCCTGCAGGCTGGAACCTCCCTGCCTACCTGACCGTCCTCATTGCCCTGGGCAATGTAGGCCCCGTGAGCGTGACCCTGATCCATCGCTTTGCTCCCAAGAGGATGAAGGAGCAGTGGCTGATCCACGCCATCCAGGCCTTGGCCATGGTGACAGTGGTCTTCCTCGCCCTCTTCTGGGATCACACAGCCGTGGTAGCGGGTGAGCCACGCAGCGTGGCCTTCTTGGTGCTGGCCTTCCTGCTGGCTTTGGCGTGCTGTACCTCCAACGTCTCCTTCTTGCCCTTCATGTACCAGTTTCCCCAGCTGTTCATCCGCACCTTTTTTATCGGTCAGGGCCTCGGTGCCCTCCTTCCCTGCGTACTTGCCCTGGGCCAGGGCGTGGGGCAGCTGGAGTGCCTCAACAGTACCCGAGGCAATGCCTCCCAGCCGCACTACCTGGAGGAGAACTTCTCAGCCAGCACCTACTTCTGGCTGCTGGTTGGCCTGCTGCTCATCTCTGCCCTTGCCTTCCTGGCACTGGTTATCTGGCACAACCGCCGTGGTGCTCCAGAAGAGAGGACTCCTTCCGAGAGAAGCGGGGAGACGGAGGAGGCCTACCCGCTGCACATGGGCAGCGTGCCCGTCTCGGACCGCCCTGCCGAGAATGTCCCTGTCGGGGATTCTGCCTCTCCCCAAACCGCTGCCTTCTGCACAGGGAGGAATATCTACCTGCTGGTGCTCCTGGGCGTTTCTAACGCCCTAACCAACGGAGTGCTGCCTTCCGTGCAGAGTTACTCTTGTCTACCTTACGGGAACACGGCCTACCATCTCTCTGTCGTGTTCAGCAACATTGCCAATCCCGTAGCCTGTTTCTTTGCCATGTTCTTCCTGTGTCGGTGAGTGCTCAAGGGTGAGGCTCTGGGGTGGGGACGGGCTTCCCGTGCTCTGCGCTCACGGCTTCAGAACATCCTAGAATTAGAGGTATTGAGTTCATTGAGAGCAGGCTGCAGTTGGCAATGTTGGGGGTGGCGCTTGAGCACTGTCCCACTATCCGGCCCTCGCGATTCATACCTGAAGCCCCTTTACTGGCCCGTGACTCTGGCTGTTGCTTTTGAACGCCAGATCAGTCGGTAATAAATCTGGTCTCGCTCGTGACTTAATTGTGGCAGCTAGCCTGGCATGCTTAACTGAGACACGGGAAGGCCTGGAGGTGGGGGGCATTCTTCTCAGGTTTTGGGCTTGGGACTAGCTGCAAGGCCAGGGAAAGGTGGCTATTGTCATTCGGGAGATTCCCCAGTTGAAGTTGGGCTCCAGGGAACAGGCAGGACTGCTGCTGTCGTAGCGCCCTCCTCGCACGTAGCATCATCCTTGCTTGACCTGCTCAGCATCATCACTGGATTGGTGGTAGAATCCCCCAGGCTGTTAGATCCCTGGCATGTCAACCTGCCAGCTGGCGACACTGAGCTCAGGAGTTTATGGTCTCCTTGGCAACCGTGGTGTTGCTGACGAGCTTGGCGGAGTTGGGACCAGGGTAGCGGGTCCAGACTGGCTTTTAGTACGGTTTGTCGTAGCATCCTTCTGGACCTGTTGCAGGGAATGGGAATGGGGGGCACCGTGTTGCAGCGGTTCTCCGTGCTCCTTGTGCAGATTTATTCTCGGACCCCGGGGTCCTCTGGGTGGCCCTGGGGCCATCCCAGGCCATTTGCCCCGCTCTTCCCTGCAAGCATCACTTCCCTAGCCCTGGGCTGGCTTCGGGCTGCCTTGTGCAGCAGGAAGGCCAGAGGGAGCCGTGCCCAGAGTTGGTGGGGGCTTGCCATGGGAAGTGCCAGGGAAGGGGCTGCAGGCAGCTCTTTGGGGCAGGTTTTTTTCCACTGGCTTAGAACTTGCATCAGCAAGAGGTGCTCGGCCTGCCCTCCCCATTTCTCTTTTCCCTGTGAGGAAACGGGGGGAAGGAAGGAGAGTTCTCCGGGTCTGTTCAGAGAATTCAGAGCAGTGCTGGTGCCCCAGTGTTCCCCTCGGCCCAGCGGGAACTCTACCTCTTCAAGGTAGGCCAGGTCAGAAAACTGGCTGGGACTTGGCTGCTTTAGAGAATAACAACCAAATCTTGGGAGCCTGGCAGATATTCCCCCCTCGCTCTCACGGGCAACCTTGACTCTCTTCCTCATGCCTCCTTGTCTCTTCAGTTAAGCTGATGTTTGTGCAAGTCACTGAATTGCTTCAAGGCCATCTCTGTACACCAGAACCCCCCAGAGCTGTTGGAATGCAATTCCTGTCATTTCCTCCCCCCACACGCGGATTAGGAGGAGATCCTCAGACGCCAACGGATCCAAAGGGCGCCATGCTGGAAAATGGCTTACGTTGTTGGGGAAGACTTTGCTGCCACGCTGTGCGGGCTTGCGCTAGACGCACGCAGGCAGGGGTGTGAATTGGGGAGTGAGGAGAAGTTGGGGATGCTTTAGTAAAGGTGGCCCTTGGGTGCTCCCCTGCAGAGCGGGACCCAGGCACCCAGCTGGCCTTGGGGGTGAGGTAGAGGCGGCTCTTCCCTCGTCGTCTCCCCTCAGCCAAGGCTTCTGGGTCTCCCTGTCAGCACACAGCTTCGAGTGGGGAGCACGCCTGGGGCAAGGCGCAGACCTCCCCCAGCATCCCCTGTCTCTCGCTTGCAGGTCGTCCCTGGCCCTGAGCGGCATCTCGGCTGCAGGATGCGTCTTTGGGGGCTACCTGATGGTGCTGGCGGCCCTCAGCCCCTGCCCCCCGCTGCAGGGCAGCCACGTGGGAGTCGCTCTTGTGGTGAGTGGTGCACAGCAGTGGGTGGGAGCAGCCACGCGCTGCTCCTCCGTCTCCCCCGCCCCTCCGAGGCCTCCTGTTCCAGCTAGGAGAGAGCTGCCTGCCCTTGGTGGATCGCAGTGCTCCTTGGGCAAGGTGGCCCCAGAAGCAGGACATGCTCCCGTCCCCCCTCGACCCTGAAGCCGATGGAGCTGTCGCAGAGCAGCCTGGCCTCCCTTGCAGAGTCGTCGTGAAGATGGGATGCAGTCTGGCGGGACCGATTGTGCTGCCGTAAGGTTCTTGAAGGAACCCTTCTGCCCGTGTTCATGAAACGGATATCCCTCCTTTCTTCAGGAGCTCCAGGCAGGAGGATCCAGCATCCCCCTTTCTGCGTTATCCCAACAACAGCTCTGTAGGGGAGGCTGGGCAATAGTGGTTGGTGAAAGCCTCCCTGAGAGCTTCCGTGGCTGGAGGGAGACTCGGGCCCGGATCTCCCCAGGAATCAGAGCCCCCACTGGCTCCAGGGAGACTGGAGGGCCCCCCAACTGCCACCCCTCCCTTTTTTGCCTTCTCTTTAGGTGACTGCTTGGATCTTCTTCGCGGGCCTCTTTTCCTACCTGAAAGTGGTGATCAGCAGCTTGCTGCACGAAGCCGGCCATACGGCCCTGCTCTGGTGCGGCGGCGTCATCCAGGCAGGCTCACTGCTGGGGGCCTTGGTCATGTTCCCCCTCACCAGCCTCTACCACCTCTTCCAGAGCGGGCTGGACTGCGTGGACAACTGCAGGGCGTGAGCAGCGGCTGGGGCTGGACAGGGCCCCGGGTGGGCGACCCCCTGCGCCCTGCGTCCCTTTGCTCCAGCAGAGGGAATCGGTCCAGGATCCTCTGCCCTCTTTGCGGCTGGAGGAGAGTTGATCTTCCTCCGGGCCCCCCACCTTGGATCAAGCAGCAGTTCCGTTCAGGTGAAGCGGTGTTTTTCCAGGCTTCCAGGCTCCTTCCGCTGCTCTTGGGCCAAGGTGGGGGGCAGAGCAGAAGGCATCCTCTCCGGGCCATGCGGTGCCAGTCCAGCCTTGGCAAGGCAGCAGCCAGGTCCCTGGCCAGTTCACCCTCCTAGCACTGTCAGGCGGGACTCCGACGTTGGGCACATCCCAGATGCAGCTTCTGCTTTGTCCTTGCAAGGAGGGGAGCTACTTCCCCTCCCCAAGCCTTGGCAGTCATGAGGCCTTCCGAAGGAACCGGACTGGCCCCAGTGAGCCCCCGTTTGAGGGATCCATGGCCCCGAGCCCCTCTGGTGCTCCCAAGGGTGGGCTGTTGGCCCCGGGGGGGGCAGGAGCTGCTGGTCAAGGTTTCTGCTCAACGCTTGGGTGAACTGTGCTGATGGCGTGTGCTGTGAGCAGGCTGGTGCTCGAGGGTACAGAGTGCCTTGGGAACAGGCACTCTCTGGGGGTGACCCTTGCTCCCCAGGCAGAGGAGAGCAGAGGCCAGAGGAGGGCTGCGCAGCAGAACGAGGGAGTTTTGCAAACTCCGCTTCGTGCGTTATGTGTATCACAAGGCTGGTTTAGATCTTTGGTTCCCCACCTCGCCCCAAAGGTGCTCCTGGATCCAGAGAGAGATCAAGGTTGCCCCGGACCTTCATTTGTTTTCTTTTTTTCCCCTTTTTAAAATCTTTTTCACTCTGTTTCTTTTTCTTTTATGTATATTTTTGTACCTTTTCTTATCTGTACTTGTATATTTTGGGGTGAGAATTAAACTTGATAATGAAACCAAAAGATTGCTTGGACAGAGCAGCATATCTCCTTCCCCCTCCCTCTGCTGGGGACCCACGAAGCCTCTCCCTTGCCAGCACGGGCGGGGGGGACGGACGGCCCTCCTCCCGCCTGAGTGGTCGTCGGGTTGCGGGACACCCACTGCCCCCTTTCCGCCCTGTCGCTGCCTGAGCGAGCCAGATCAGTTCTTCCTCAGCCGAACCCCGCTCAGCCACTGGGCGTGAGTGCGTCCCGGCCTTTTTCACCAACCTCTGCCCTCCCTGCCTGCTGCCCCTTACGCTGCTTGGGGCAGCTGGCGAGCAGGGGGTGGGCTGTCTTTGGCTTTCTGATGCTTGGCTGCATCGGCCCAAAGCTCAGTGTCAGCAGGAAAGTCGAGCTGTCCACTTCTGGCAGCACATTCTGCAGAAGCTGTTTTGGGCCTGCGTGCATGTGGATCAGGGCCTCTGGGCCTTGAATGCAACGATGCCTCTGCGGGCTCTCAAAGGGCCAGGAGCCTGGCAGCCCCCCTTGCGCCGCCCCCCCTTCCCTGCACAGGGCTTATGAATGCTGAGAAACTGCAGAGCGCTCGCCTCTTCTGCTCCGCGGTTTTTGCCGAGTGAACCTGGGCTCCAGCCCTGGACTATCCACGCAGACACACGTGCCCAGGAATGCCAGAGGGATTCAGGTGAGCCCGGGGTGTGCAGCTTGCCTTCTCTTCTGCAGGACCCGGCCTCCAATGGATGGTGCAAAAGGGCCCCCCTTCTTGACTGGTCCCCTCTTTGGGCAGTTCATAATTCCTCGGAGGAAGGGCCTGGATTCGTGGCCAACTGGCCTTTCCTCGGACCAGCAAGCCTGCGGCCCCTTGCCTCAACAGCGGCCTTTTGTGGCGGGGGGGGGGGGGGGGGGG